ACACTCTTCTGAGAGCCTGCCTTGTTGCTAGGTTAGGCACTTGTACAGTTTTCAAAACATTCTTTTTTTTTTTTGAGACAGAGTCTCGCTCTGTCGTCCAGGCTGGAGTGCAGTGGTACAATTTCAGCTCACTGCAACCTCTGCCTCCCGGGTTCAAGCAATTCTCCTGCCTCAACCTCCCAAGTAGCTTCAATTACAGTCATGTACCACCACACTGGCTAATTTTTGTATTTTTAGTAGAGACAGAGTTTCACCATGTTGGCCAGGCTGATCTCAAACTCCTGACCTCAGGTAATCCACCCACCTTGGCCTCCCAAAGTGCTGGGATTACAGGTGTAAGCCACCGTGCCCGGCTAATTTTCAAAACATTCTTGAGTGAACTGGTCTTTGTTGAACAAACTTAGCCATTTCTGTGATACCTAGAACCTCTTTTCATTTTATTTGTGAGAATTTTGACAGTAGCACCTCAGTGAAGAAAGCCATGAGTTGACAGTGTCAGGGTTTTCTGTTTGACACCACAGTGTACAGCCCAGGGCAGTTCCTCAGAGGTACACGTGAAGACAGGGTGTGAAATCCAGCTTGGCCTTTGCTTGTTTGGGGCCTTCACAGCAGAAAAAATTTTCTTGAGTTCACCATTAGTTATACACCTTACAAATGCTGTAGCATGTCATTTATTGGTAAAATTTGTAGACTCAGTAGAGAAGCTATTTTTTTATAGTTTATCACAAAACCTCTTCAGGATATGAAAAGTCATCTCTGTGTGTACTTATTGTGCAGTTTGGGAGTAGAACCTTTTAAATTTCTTACACTATATCTTGTCCTAAAAACATCTTGTAATTTCACATGCAGGCATTATGAGATCCTTGCCCACTGTGTGACTTTTCTTTCTCTGGGCCTTACGTTGTGCTATTAATTTCCTTTTTGAGCCTTTTTTAACTGAACATTACTTAAAAAAAAAAAAAAAAAAGCTTTACTCTATTTTAAATGGCCATTAGGATATCAAAATAATCAGTATCTTTACTTATCAATGGTTGTGACTTGTAGTTGCGATTTTTCAATTTTGTTGGATCCATCGCTGCATTGATAAAGTGTTTTTCACAGATGATGCAACTTGGAAATTATCCATCCAGGTACAACCTTATTAATAAGTAGGTCTCATCATTAAATGGACTTTTTTGTGTTCCCCAGTGCACTAGTGCAGTGAAAGGATTCAGAAGCTTGAAATTCATTGTTTTTACTTAGAATTGTCTCTATGCTTAGGCTTAGAACCTTCCTCTCCTAGCTCATACCTCTTCTTTAGAAGTCACATTGAATTGAAAAATTTCCTCCAGTTTTCTTTGCTACAAGTAGAGCATGTTTGCTCCAGCTGTTGGTGCATAAGGGAAGGTTGGGGCAGATAAAGCTGAAGAGGCTGACATCAGACTGCTGTATAGAGCTCATCAGCTACCAGTGGCTTCCCCTGTCTCCTGAAAAAAAAAATTAAATGGACCAAATCAAGTGAGCATAATCTTAACTGCTTACTGCCATATGAGGCTCAAAGACCTATAATAAAATTGCTATAGGGGCTGCATAGTCTCTTTTCATCACTGTGAACCTGCATTGCTCAGTACAAAGCCCATTGCAGGAACTGCAGTTGGTAAAGTTTTATAAATGTAGTTACTTATTCTCATGTTACTCTATACAGTTGAATGCATCCATTTTTGTTTTAGAAATCTGGCTTTTAATACATTGCCTTGATTTTTAATTATTGTATGTTTTTATCTTTGACACACAAATATGTTAACTTTATTTATTTTTTTTGAGACGGAGTCTCGCTCTGTCGCCCAGGCTGGAGTTGCAGTGGCCGGATCTCAGCTCACTGCAAGCTCCGCCTCCCGGGTTCACGCCATTCTCCTGCCTCAGCCTCCCGAGTAGCTGGGACTACAGGCGCCGCCACCTCGCCCGGCTAGTTTTTTGTATTTTTTAGTAGAGACGGGGTTTCACCATGTTCACCAGGTTGGTCTCGATCTCCTGACCTCGTGATCCACCCGTCTCGGCCTCCCAAAGTGCTGGGATTACAGGCTTGAGCCACCGCGCCCGGCCCAAATATGTTAACTTTAATCTAGCCCTGGAATGGTATGGTATTACCCTAGTATTTTATCTTCTTTCATGCATATTATATAAGGCAGTACATTGATAATATGTTTTCAGGCCACGTGTTTACTAGAGCATAATAACCTCTAAAACTGTAAAATTTATTTATCATTCAACAAAATATTTCTAAAACAAAGATCTCTTTATTACTAGTGCAAACAATACAAAAATGAACAGTTACTCATTCCCGTTTTTCAGGATGCTCACCATGTAAGACAGAGCCAAAAAAAGTACATCATCATGGTTAGAGGTGGACACAGTATATTATGAGTGAACGAAAAAAGGACTGAAGGAGTTTAGCAAAAGTAATCTAGCCAGAACTGAGACTCGAAGGGTGTGTAGGAGTTGATTAGGCAGGGAGAGAGCACATTAGAAACCACTGAGAAATACACCTTTCTATACTATCTATCGTCTTAATTACATAGCTTCAGCTGTTCCTTAGTCAAGATAAAACTGAACCTTCATGATGGAGTGCAATGTTTTATGTTCTACCTTGAATTAGGGAAGAACTGAATAAATTAGGTATCTTTCCGGCTTGGAATCACTGCCTCCATATTACATTGTTAGAAATATATTTAGTAGTTAGATTAAACCTTATTATATTCTCAGGCAGAAAAAAAAGTTTGTTGGTAAGGAAGAAAGAAATGTTAGCCTCGTTATTTCAACTAAAAGATCTAGATAATTATAGGTTATGAAAGTGATTCACCTAAAGGTAGAAGAATTTTTAATGTTTACTTGGGAGAAAATAGTCTATCATAAAAGGAACTTCTCTCTTTTGTCTGTCAGAAAACACCATAATCAAAGTCAAAATGACAAAGGACTAATATCCTTAATATATAAAGAAAATTTTAAGTTGTGACAACACCCCCAAAACATTAGAAAATTGGTTAAAATATATGAACAGATAGTACACACACACACCCCCCCAAGATATACAAATAGCTCTTGAACATATTAGAAGATACTCAACTTCACACATGATAAAAGACATGCAAATTAAAACTACTGCTGTTGAGGCAATAGGGAAATGGGCTCATTCATCACTGGTGGGAATAGAAAGTGATAATAGTCCCTTTAAAGGAGAGTTCAGCAATAGCTCAATAATAACAAAAATATACAAGTTTTCTTAGTTTAGCAGTCCTGTTCCTAGGAATTTTCTCTGAAGATACACTTCCAATAACGTGTAAAAAAATTTTTTTTAAATACTTGCATATACACCAGGTTCTCTATTGAGGTGTTTTTGGTAATAGTAATCTATTAGAAACAACCTAACTGCCATACGAAGATTGGCTGAATGAATAGCCAATACATGGACTATTACAGAAAATAATTAGGAAAATCTCCATAAACTATTGCATGATTTTTTTTTTTCAGAATATATTGTTAAATCAGCAAGATGCATATATCAAGGTAATTCACATTAGCAGATTAAGGAGAAGAATCTCATGATCTCAAGAGATGCCGAAAAAGTTTTCAATTACATTCTAATTTCTTTCATGATTTTAAAACTTTCTTAGCAGACCAAGAACAGAACATTTTTAATCTGATAAAAGGTAGCTATAATGACATTTAGTGCCTCAGTCATATTTAGTGATAAAATAGAAAGCTTTCCTTTTCAGATCAGGAACAAAACAAGGGTGCCTACTATTAACTGTTTTCCTCAACAGTGCTTTAGAAGTTCTAGCCAGTGTACTAGTATAAGAAAAAGAAATAAAATATAAAAATTGGAGGAAACTTGTCCCTTTATTTGCAGATGTTATGAATATGTATTTAGAACATGAAAGAGAACCTATGGATAAGTTGTTAGTATTAATAAGAGAGTAGAGTTCCTGAGTATAAAATCTGTACATAAAAATCAGTTCTTCCTACCAGCAGAGGTATTATTAAAAAATCGATCCTATCTCTTTAAATAAGCAATAAGTGCTCAGAAAATGAAATATTATAACATCTATAATAGTATCAGAAAAATATCAAGTATCTTATAATAAACCCAACAAAAGAAGTATAAGACTTTTGTGAAGAAAAGAATAAAATTCCATTGAGAAAATTAAAAGTCTTTAAAAAGCTGAGAGATAACAGTTGATGGATTGGAAGAAGCAATTTCTAAAGATGTGATTCTTTCTAAAATTGATCTAAACTTCACTGCAATTTCAACAGGTGGTTTTTTTTTTTTTTCCTTAATGTTCATAAGGAAAAGAATGGGAAATTAGACTGTAAGATTATTCCATTAAATACACAATTACTAAGTTGTAAATTATTTCCTGTATCAATAGTAACTAGTGGCAAATGCCTGTAGTCCCTGGTACTCGGGAGGCTGAGGTGGGAGGATCACTTGAACCTAGGAGGTTGAGCTGCAATGAGCTGATTGTGCCACTGCACTCCAGCCTGGGTGAAAGAGTGAGACCCTGTGTCAAATAAAAAGTAATTTAAAAGGATTTGTTGATCAACTGTGGTATTATATTTCTCAAACATTAGGATAATATAAGAAATATTTTAAAAGTTTTTTCTTCTACCACTTCATACTGAGATGCGAAGTATATTATATAAATAAGCATATACAAAGTAATGAGTTTATTATTAATTATGTGGTAACTTATAATTGGGCTTCCTGGAGTGACTTGAATTTCTGACAAACTTGAATAATTTCTGCTTTAGTGGTGACTATGAGACATGGAAGTGCAGATTTCTCTTATGTATAATTAAACATTTGAAAAAAGTAATGCCAAGCGTTTGGGAGTTTTGGGAACCAAAATAATGCCTGGCTGGTTATTAAGTCAGTTACGAGCAAGGCTGTATCTTCTCTGTGTTTGTTAAAATGCTTATTGTGAAATGACATGAAGCTTTTATTGCTTTTTCCCTGTTGCCAGGTACTTTATTACCAAGGTTGCCATCAGAACCAGGAATGACGTTACTCACTATCAGAATTGAGAAAATTGGTTTGAAAGATGCTGGGCAGTGCATTGATCCCTATATTACAGTTAGTGTAAAGGGTAAGTAACTCTGTTTACTTTTTTTCCCTCAGGTGAATTTTATAATGTTGCTTCTTATTTGGGACAGCTTTTTTTTGGTGGTGGGGCAAGGAGTCTTCTGTATGTGACAACTCGTTTTAGTTCATTCTATTATATAATGAGGCAAAGTCCCTGAAAGAGATCATCACTTCTTCACTGAACACTTTTGAGAGATTTACTTATTTTCTTATTTATAACTTACACTGTTTTGCTTTTAAGTTTTTCTTTGTGTATATCTTTTTATTCTTAAAATCCCACCTGGGGTGCTGGCTACACATCTTTATCAGCAGATACATCATTTAGGATACAGGTTAACAGAATATCCCTCACCTTCCAAAGGTGTGTAGGTTTGTTTGCAAAGCCCAGTGTTCTGTTTCCCTCCTGCGTTAGGCCCTCTCCTTCCTGTCCAAGAGAGAGGTCTACATTGGAGAGTCCTCCAAAGGTGGATGAGAATCAGGCCTTAAGTGAATGATCAGTGAGGACAGGGAGGAGGACAGATCCATAGCATGCCTGCTCTGAACGTAATCCTGTGGAGCATTCAACAAGTGAAGTATTTCTTATCCTTAACTATGTTACTGTGGTTAGGAAGCATGATTATTCTTAGGATTTGGTTTTTTTCTCCTATCCAGTGAAAAGGTAGTTAACCTTTTCAGTCTTTCAGAGGGAAACCACATTGGTTGAATTCTTTTGTTGTTGCCAAACATTGTATATAGTACTTTCTTTATAAAGTACTTAACAGTCTTTTAAAAATAATTATTGGGCAATTGAGAATGAAGTTGTCATACTCCTGTCCAGAAACAACTGCACAGCTAATCCAAGTGGTTTACTTTAATCTGTAATTTGAGGCAAGTCAAAGAAACAGATAGGGACTGAAATCAAATGAAGAGAACTTTTGTCAGTCATAGAAATAAGTTCAGATTCAAAAGTTCATTAGTACCAATTAAAATAAAAAGGAATTTGGCCACAGAGAGGGATTATTTGGAGACCATGATCCACAGCACTAATGCTGTGAAACTTTTAACTTCTGATGTTATCAGTTATCAAATATATGGCCTACTGGAAAGTATATATACTCTACATTATAGTTTGATCGGTCATTTACAGAACTGTGTAACTCATTCAGGAATGTACACTGTAAAACACAAAGATATTTAATGATATTGTAGTAGCTGTTAAGTTACCTTTGCATACATGTTGAACTAAAACATATTTTTGTAAATATCTTTAAGAACTGAAACAATCAATGAACTATATTGTTTTAAGTTCTCTAAGACAAATCTGTTGAGTAATACGTAAACACTTGAGTAGTCATTAAATGAGTCCATGTTGAATTTGATTAAACTGGAAGATTCCTGGATCCAGAAAATTAAAACCATACACAATAATTTAGTGTTCTGTCTAGTTGGTATAAAACAGGTTGTTATAACAAATATAATGAGAATTTAGATAATATTTGTAAAATTATTCATTGATGGAAGGGTTTCAGTGGCAATTTTCATGTCCATTTTTGGTCCTTAGATTTGAATACAGCAGGGGGATTCTGATAATGTTAGATTTAAAGGCCTTTCCAAACCATATACTTGATCAAGTTTGGAAATTAGGGGTAAGGTCCCATTGAGGCATATTATTTACATTCTAAGTTTTTATTGCAGACAAAAATATAGTGGCCTATTTCCTAAGGAAAACAAAAAGTTCTTTTCACTTCTTCCCTATAAAGATGAAATTTTGTGTTCTACAAGCTTTCTTTTGTACCTGATTGAGACAGGTTTCCTCCTTCCCACCGCGAAGCCTCCCATCCCCTCACTCAGCCTCTCCACATGCCTCTGTGATCACCTGCAACTCTTCAGATACCTGCTCACACCAAATGGGAATTTCTATTAGTCCAAGAATTTCCTCTCACCTTTCTGCAAGCATCCTTATGAAATATACCCCCTGTAGTTGGCAGGGTTTTTTTTTTTTGTTTATTTGTTTGTTTTTTGTTATTTTGACACGGAGTTTCACTCTTATTGCCCAGGCTGGAGTACAGTGGCGCAATCTTGGCTCACTGCAACCTCTGCCTCCCGGATTCAAGAGATTCTCCTGCCTCAGCCTCCCAAGTAGCTGGGATTACAGGTGCGCACCACCACGCCTGGCTAATTTTTTGTATTTTTAGTAGAGACGGGGTTTCACCATGTTGGTCAGGCTAGTCTTGAACTCCTGACCTCAAGTGATCCACCCACCTTGGCCTCCCAAAGTTCTGGGATTACAGGCGTGAGCCCCCATGCCCTACCTAGTTTGCAGTTTTTTGTTTTTTGGTTTTGTTTTTGAGATGTCACCCAGGCTGGAGTGCAGTGGTGCAATCTTGGCTCACTGCAAGCTCCGCCTCCTGGGTTCATGCCATTATCTTGCCTCAGCCTCCCGAGTAGCTGGGACTACAGGTGCCTCCTATCATGCCCGACTAATTTTTTTGTATTTTTAGTAGAGATGGGGTTTCACCGTGTTAGCCAGGTGAAACTGTGTTAGCCAGATCTCGATCTCCTGACCTCATGATCTGCCTGCCTCGGCCTCCCAAAGTGCTAGGATTACAGGCGTGAGCAACCGTGCCCGGCCTGCAGTTTTTAAGTCTGTATACTTGAATGTTCCTAAAGAGAAACTTCTTTTCTCTTTAGATCTGAATGGCATAGACTTAACTCCTGTGCAAGATACCCCTGTGGCTTCAAGAAAAGAAGATACATATGTTCATTTTAATGTGGACATTGAGCTCCAGAAGCATGTTGAAAAATTAACCAAAGGTTTGTAATCCTAAATAATCATTGGCTTCTTATGGACAGAATTCTCATCTTATTTGTGTTTGTACATGTGAGGGACCTAGCATAGTTAGTATCTGGCAGAAGTAAATGTAACATAGTGTTTATTGATTTGAATAAATATACGTATTTTTAAAATTTAGAAATTAGGAATTGTGTTATCTACTTGTCTGATAACACTGTTATATAGTAAAACAATCTTTGATAATACAATTTTATTGTCTTTACCAACAAAACAAAGTTTTTCATACACTGAAGGGCTGGGAGAAGCAGGAGCACCCTAAGGCTCCCTGATGATTAAGTTTAATGATTAAGTTTTAATCTTGAAATTAAGAACCAGGGTTTTCTTCCAGGATTTCTAGTTTGGTAGAACGATAACTTGCAGTTAATTGTTAGGAAATAGGAAAGGACAAAAGCAAATTTTTGAAACAGTGAGGTTACATTTCCAAGTACAGTTCTTAGTATTAAATACCCATGCTTTTTGCCCAGTGAAAATTTCGGTGTTCTCCAAAAAGGTGACTTCAGAATCCCTTTATCACCTGAGGGTTCAATTGCAGTTTCTGAAATGTTCAAGCTCTATAGGATATTCAAGTGCCTTTTGAAGTGATTGCCTCGGCATCTGAAATATTCTATATTTCACTTCTCAAGTCTGATGCTGCTGCCTCCTCTGTTCTTCTACTAAAAGACCTTTCAGTGCTTCTGTTAGAACAGTGGTTCTCAGAGTATGATTCCTGGAACAGCAGCAGCACCTGGAACCTTGTTAGGTGGCACCCCCAGACATCCTGAATCTGAAACCATGGGGACGGGCCTAGCAGTCTGTTTTAGGAAGCCCTTTAGGTGATTCTGACATACACCAAAGCTCCAGAGTCGCTGTGTTAGAAGACTATGTATGTAGGAGGTGCTTAATAAATAGTGTTGAAGAAATTTCAGTTACAAAGTATGTCTTCTGAACAAAACTGTTGATTTGTTTCATTTCTTTAACTCTGTTGCCTTAAGAAATGTTTGTGATGTGGAGGGGAGAAGGTGGAGTGTTTCATGGGTTAGCTTTTCTATTTTATTACAGTGTTCTTTCTTAATGACTCGACTCACCAGATAATAAAAGTAGAACTAGATTAAAAATTTGACTCTATTCGTTTTCGCCAGCTTCAAACTTACTGTTTACCGTTACTGTAGTTTTAACTGATATTAGTGTTAATGACCATACTTTCATGTTTACAAACATTTTAACTTAATCTTCCCAGGACATTCTTGTTTTATGTTTTGTTCTTTCTTATAAAAAGCATGATGAGGGATGCAGGAAATATATTATTTACAGGTGATACAGATTAATAATTTAACTTCCTCAGAATGATGGTAACATATTTGAACTTTGGCATTGTTTTGAAATGTGACTTTATCATTCACATTTATTCAAACCTCAAGACACAATCATGAGGAGGAGATGGGTTTCCTAGCTGAAAAGACTCTGGTATCTTAAAAATCTTTGAGGTTTTCTAATGACAAAATGCCTCTGAGTATTGTGGGAGGGAGAAGAGAAGCCACCGTTTGTGGAAATGGCAAGGTCACACACCTAGGGAAGAGACGTTACCAGTAACCTAACTATTGTAATCCTTTCGAGCATGTTGGGAGTAGATGGCTGAATATGCCCATCTCTCTCTCACCCACATCCCATTGTCTCCTGAACAACTGGTTTTTCTTTCCTCCCTTGCCATGTGATGTGGTCCATTTGGACCCAAGTGCCAATGCTGTACACACATTTCTGAACACTGCTGAACTTCTAGTGACTTGTGAGTTTTGTCATCAGTGACAGTATTAAATGTATGTTATCTTTGAAAGCCAAGCTCCTGGACTGCTCTGGTTAAGGCAGTATTTAGAAGTAACCAGTGAAGAGTGAGACACTGACTTACTTCCTTCACTTTCCATGCCTTCTTTAGAAATTCATTTTTCTTGGCCACATTGATGAGGCAACTTATTTCTCCATTTTTAGCTTTTTCCTGCAGGATTGGGGGAAGAGTTTATCTGTTGGGCTTTGGGGACATAGGACTGTCTAAATTGCTTATTTTTTTCTTTTTTTGAAACAGTCTTGCTTTGTCACACAGGCTGGGGCACAGTGGCATGATCATGGCTCACTGCAGCCTCAGTCTCCCTGGGCTCAGGCAGTCCTCCCTCCTCAGCCTCCCGAGTAGCTGGGACTACAGGCACCTGCCACCAAGCCCGGCTATTTAAAAAATTTTTTTGTAGAGGTGGGGTCTTACCATGTTGCCCAGGCTGGTCTCAAACTCCTGGCCTCAAGTGATCTGCCCACCTCTGCCTCCCAAAATGCTGGGATTACAGGCATGAGCCACCGCACCTGGCCAGAACTGTCTAAATTTCTCATTATCACTTGCTCATTGGAGGAGAGTGGCAGAATAGATAGATTTGCTCTTTGAACCTTTTGTCTTCTACAGCACTGCCTTGACACAAACATGCAGTTCCAGGAAAAACATCACAACAGTGCTTTGAATACTGTAAAAGGTATTAGGGAAAGAGATAACATTTTACAGCTCAGCCAGCATGTGATTTATGTTGTTTGAATTCCAAAATACCCCCAGGATTGAATTTTTGAGTTTTTGTTTCGGGGTTAGGGAAATAATTCAAGTTTAAATTTTTTTAGGAACTCTTTTAAATGCATTTTCTACCTAATGAGTTTCTATGTGTATTGAAGTATCTTCTTTGTTCTTCTGTGGCATTTCGTATTTTATAGCAGCTTATGATTCTACCTGTGTACATAACTGTTATACATTCTTGAAGCAGTCTAGCTCAAGAAGTTTTGCTATAGTTTGTAGAATTGGATGATAAGGAGAAATGTCACTCTTCTCAGATACAGACGAGTTTGGGGTGACAACCATAGTAAGTTACTGTCAAATCATTGAGACTGGCACAAGTTGTTTTGTCGAATTATGCCCGCTGTAGCTGTTCATATGCTTCTGGTGATCAAAGAAAATGAATTGACACACAAGAAATGTGCTATCTGTGGTTTATGCGGCTTGTTTTAATTCCTTAGGTGCAGCTATCTTCTTTGAATTCAAACACTACAAGCCTAAAAAAAGGTTTACCAGCACCAAGTGTTTTGCTTTCATGGAGATGGATGAAATTAAACCTGGGCCAATTGTAATAGAACTGTAAGTGGTGTGCATATAGAGTTAGTACTAATTTGATGGTGACTAGTATGTATTTCTTCTAAATCCCCCATATCCAGTATTTAACCTTGGAAGAGTTCAGTTATCAAAGTGTTTTAAACAATCATCCTTCTGTTGTGATTACAGATACAAGAAACCCACTGACTTTAAAAGAAAGAAATTACAATTATTGACCAAGAAACCACTTTATCTTCATCTACATCAAACTTTGCACAAGGAATGATCCTGACATCATGAACCTGGAACTTCTGTGAATTTTACCACTCAGTAGAAACCATCATAGCTCTGTGTAGCGTATTCACCCTTCAACAGGCAGGAAGCAAGCCGCACCCAGACCAGTAGGCCAGAGGGAGTCCAGTGCAAAGCTGTACCACAGAATTCAAAGTCCAGCACATCACTGACATATAGGACTCCTTTGGATACAGGTTTATTGTAGATTTTGAAACATGTTTTTACTTTTCTATTAATTGTGCAATTAATAGTCTATTTTCTAATTTACTACTACTCCTACCCTGCTTCCTGGAACAATACTGTTGTGGGTAGGATGTGCTCATCTTCAGACATAATACAGCAATAAGAATGTGCTAGAGTTTACACATCTGTTCACTTTTGCTCCAGTATGCTCTTTTGACTTAACTTCAAGCTTTGGGTTGATGTGGGTAGGGTAGTGTCAAACTGCTTTAAGAGGAATTGGACCAGTTCTGCGGCCTAAGAAGGTCTGTCTGGATGTTTATAGGCAGCTCCTCTGAAGTGGCCTAAATTCACCCTGATCTGATAGTTTTCCTGCTTAGAAAGTGTGCCTTGGCCAGATCAGTATCCCATATGGGAGTGTTCCCTAGGTTGTAGCTGTGATTGTTTCCAGATGACCAGATTGTTTTTCTGAAAATGAGCATATTTTTAGTCATGTTGATTAGCTGTTCTTCTACATCACATTGTTACTCTTTCTGATGATGATTCTAGGGTTAACATTGGAACCATATCAAAGTAATTACAAATTTTTAGATGGGTTTACAATGTCTTCTAAACATGTAATCTAAAAATAATTGAGTCAGATGCTAACGAGATACTGCAGGCATAACTGCTGTTTTTCTGACAACTGATTGTGAAACCTTAAAACCCGCATACCTCTTCTTATAGTGAGGAGTATGCAAAATCTGGAAAGATATTCTATTTTTTTTATATAGGTAGATAGGATCGCCATTTATTTCCTATTTAGATATACTGACATTCATCCATATGAAAATATGCAGGTCATTAGCTTACTATAATTTGACTATTTACTTTTGACTTAATGGGGCATAAATAAAACTTTCATAGTACACATGAGGTGGATATTTGATACACAGAACATTTGTGGTGGGCTTTCTGTGGGTTAGATGTAAAGCCCACATATTTTAATATTCACTATTTTAAATGAGCAATGCATGAGGGGAATGCAGTGTCAGTACCTGGCCTATTTTTAAACTAGTGTAATCACCCTAGTCATACCATTCAGTATGTTTGCTTTTTAAAATAAGTAACCACAATTAAGTTGTTTTAGCCCTTGCACTTCAAGAGATCTAGTCTTTACTTTCAGTTGTCTGTTAGGTCCATTCTGTTTACTAGACGGATGTTAATAAAAACTATGTGAGCCTGAACGAATTCTCGGCCAAATTTAGTCTTGTCTCTCATCTTGATTGGATTAATTCCAAATTCTAAAATGAGTCAGTCCACAATAGCTCTAGGGGATGAAGAATTTGCCTTACTTTATTGTTCACTCAGTTCCTAAGACTGTGAGTTGTCAAATCCCTAGACTGTAAGCTCTTCAAGGAGCAAGAAGCGCATTTTCTCCGTGTCATGTAATTTTTCTAAGGTGCTTGGCAGCACTCTGTACCCTGTGGAGTACTCAGTACCTTTTGTTTGATGTTGCTGACAAGACCTAAAAAATAATCCCTTAAAAAAACGATTAAAATGTAGCAAAACCGATGTATTATTTTTTCTCTTTTCTCATAAACCGTAAGATATGTATATCAAAGTGATAATTTATATGAAGCATCTGCTATCCTTCACATAAGTATGGTTTATATGAACTACAAATACCTTTCATCAACATTAAAGAAGCTTAAATTGAACACTGTGTGATTAGCTTAACTTTAATTCGGACTTGAATATAATGAGAAAATGAGTGATTGTCTTGCAGTTGACACAGAATATACTACATCCCACAAATTACTTACTTTCCAATGAAAAAAATCAGCCATTGACGATGTCACTACAACCATAGCAGAAATGCCTTCAGGCTGAATATTGCTGCTTCATAAATAAGACAATTTTAGCAACTAAATCCAGACACAATTAGTTGGAGATGACTTCCGAAATAGATGAAACTTTAGAGATGGAAAAGTGATTTGACTGAGGGATGATACTCCCTATGCCATCTGCGTTTTGGCGCCCTGCTTTGGGGTTTGCTGCAGAAATGGTGCAATCAGATGGATGTGAGAGGAAGCAGTTATGGACTGGCTCACAACTTCTCAGAGAAGCTACACTGGAATCTCCACAGCTTGCCAGTTTCTCAATTATGTCAGATACAGAATAATCACCAAAAAAGGCTTTAGAGGGGAAAAATACTCTTAATTTTGAATTTTAAAAATAGATTTAATTTACCTATTCTACTTACCTTCCTAGATGGCATAATCTACACTTAAATGACATTTAAAATTAGAAATTATATTAATTTCAGCATTGTTTTGTGTCCTAAAGAGACTGACAGGTAAATTCAAAAATTGTATTTGTGACTTAATCTTATTTTACATGTGGCTAAAAGTGGCCTATGCTCCTCTGTGGAGTTTTCCTCTTAATTTCTTCTATTCTTGATATTAAATGGGAGGACATATAGATTGAATTCTCTTTTCCTGAAGAATTTATATATCCTTATGAACTTTGACAGAGTTGCCTTCTTTCAAAGTCCTTATCTTTCTAAACTATCTTCAGTTGTTTAGTATAAAGAGAAAATTGTTCCACATTGAAGCTTTTATTCCTTTTTACAAGATATTCTTAATCAATTAAATATCACAACAGTGACAAGACATACACTAGGTTTCAAAAATATTACATCATAGGACTTCAATGAATGGAAGAATGTAACCTAGCAGCAAACAAAAGTATCAGCCTTTTACGATTTTAGTTTTAGTCTAGATCTTAAACTCCTTAAAAGGAGTGCTATTATTACTGTAATTAAAATGTCTGAAGTTAGTTCTTAGAAATGCTGTAGAGTATTTAAAGAAACATTGTTTTAAAGGCACAGTGTAGTAATGGATAAAACTTTAAGTATGCTACAATTCCAGATGGTTAGTTACTGATTTTTAAATAAAAGCACCAATGTTTAAATATTAATTTTGGAATAACACCTGTCGCCCCCCCTCTTCCTCCCTAAAAAAAAACTGATTTCAACCCTTGATTGCTGACCTAGGGCATGTTGTAAGCCTCATAGTCCTAAATCATTCTTTCTCATGGCATTATACTCTTCCAATCTTTTTATTGTATTCCTCAAAAATCAGTGGCAAGGAATGGGAAAGACGAGACTGTATATTTAAAAATTTTTTAAAGATTTCTGTACTTTTATGGCCATGACACATCATTTTCATTTTTCTGTTGTGTACCTTTTTTCTACAGGAATGGTAAAAGCAATAGAACATCAGGTCAAACAACTCTTGCTACTAATGTAAACTCACTCTCAGAAAACCATTCTAAACAGACAATGAGGATCGTAAAGAAAGCATGTGAATGCTATACAAGTGGGAAATAAACTTCTTTGAAATGAAAAGACATCACTTGTAGAGTTCACAGGTGAGGGGGTAGCAGCCGGAAGTGTGCCACCAGCCACCATCTTCAGTTCTGGGAGCCGGAGTGTACATGTTCCCCAAATCGCACAAACCTCACTAACAGTCCAATGAATCAACAGACACTTGGGAAATATTAATAACAAATTTTTATGAGCTGTTACTACAAAGAACTTCAGCAAGAGGGGAGATGAAGTTTAGTGATCTTTTAGTAAACATTTTTAGCGTAACAGTCTTTGTGACCAGATAGTTTAAAAAAAAAAAAAACGCTTATAAACACCATTGCTCCGTATTCAGCTGGTGTACACTAAAAATAGGATAATGGAAATACATGTTCTTAAAGCATTTCCACAGGAAATGTTCATATTTTTCATGACATTCTAAATCATTTAGCAATTACATATGCTACATTAGCTAAAACACAGGTATTCTTTATTGCACATTTCAAAGTTGTAAGGATGCTCTAGCTTAAAAGGTGTCTTATTTAGGGAAGAAATGACATTTCTGAATTGTTTGGCTCAAAAATGCACACTGCCGAGGCAGCGCAGTTCTAACAACAGACCTTTTAAAATAAAGTTTTGTATTTTGAAGCCAATGAAATCTTTTACTGTAATGAATAATGCACAGTACACTTTCTCTCCAACAAAATGTCAGAGGTCATAGTTATGGGCTCTGTTTTAAAGCCTGTGAACAGTCCTGGCTAGTGCTCTGAGAGGCAGGAGGAGGATCATCTCTAGAGCCTGATGGCGGTAAGTCTCTTGCAGCAGGTGGTGGTGGGTAATCCTGGGGACCATGGGTTGGGGGTGGTAATCGGGCACCAGGAATAAAGTACTCTCTTGGGCCAAGTGGACCTAAAGGTCTAAATGGTGTGTGTCCAGGTAAAAATTCCCGAGGGTGGAGAGGCAGGTCCCGTTTTCCTGGTGGAACGCCTGGTGCAAATTCTCTTAAGCCTAGTGGTGGACGCATACCAGGGCCTGGAAAACAAAAATTATTTCTAGTAAATTCCTAGGAACATATCTAAATTAAGATAATGCCAGGTATGTTAATACGGTCTGTCATCCTTTCTTTTTTTTTGGAGGCAGAGTCTTGCCTGTCACCTGGACTGGAGTGTAGTGGAGTGACCATGGCTCACTGCAGCCTCAATCTCCTGGACACAATCGATCCTCCCACCTCAGACTCCCGAGTAGCTGGGACTACAGATGGATGCCACCACTCCCAACTAATTTTTGTATTTTTTGTAGAGATGGCGGTTTCACCATGTTGCCCACGCTGGTCTCAAACTCCTAGACTCAAGGGATCCACCTGCCTCAGCCTCATCTAATGAATGGTGGGATTCATAAAGTGCTGGGATTACAAGCGTGAGCCACTGTGCCTGGCCTATCATCTTTATCTTAAAAAGAGATAGATTTGCACTCCACCATACCAAGAAGACAGACTAAATATGGCTTCATTGCAATAAAAATTTTGATAAATTCCATTAACTACTGTGTATCAGTTACAAATTTATGCAGTACACTTTGGGAGGCCGAGGCGGGCATATCACGAGGTCAGGAGATTGAGACCATCCTGGCTAACACAGTGAAACCCTGTCTCTACTAAAAATACAAAAAATTAGCCGGGTGTGGTGGCGGGCGCCTGTAGTCACAGCTACTTGGGAGGCTGAGGCAGGAGAATGGCGTGAACCCAGGAGGCGGAGCTTGCAGTGAGGAGAGATCGTGCCACCACACTCCAGCGTGGGCAACAAGTGAGACTCCATCTCAAAAAAAAAAAAAAAAAAAATTATGCAGTAGCTCAAGATGGAGCTAATAATGCCATAAAAATTAAGGTGCTTGCCCTGCTGGAAAAGGCCTTCCAGCTGCATCTAATTAAATTCAGCAGCATTCATTAGATAGCTGTTAAATTCTACCTTCTCTTTCATATCTCCTTCCTTTGTATTCCCAAGGTGAGGATTGAGGGTTTGTATCTTTCCCTAATATCCTGTGACCTACTGCTTATGCTTCCATTATGGGTGATTAGAAGCTTTATGTTGTAGAGTGTGTATATTTGTGACCTACAAGACATCTTAATTAGGGGATATATTTTATCTACCTTGCTATCCATTGCAGAGCCTAGTACACAGCCACAAATGTTCAATAAACATGTGCTTAATATTTCTGGCTTTTTATGAATAGCCCCTTTCCTTGTTCTATTAGAGACAATTATTGCCCATCTAATCACAGGAGATTATGCAGCACCCTTTGTGTCCTAAGGAACTTGGGGAAAAGTTAACAATGTACTCAATCAGCTTCATCACTGCACTGCAAAGCCCTGCAATTGCAGTTGTATTAGCAAGGGATAGAGGGAGATGAATGTGTTTACAAGTCAATCACTACTGTTCAGATCATCTTACCAAAGGGTGGAGGAAGTGGCCGAGGCCCGAAAGGTCCGCAGAGCTGAGGTGGTGGTCCATATCGAATGGGTGGTGGTATAGGGCCTCCCATAGGGGTGCTCATGAGAGGGACTCCTGAGAAAGGAGGGGGCCCTTTTGGAGCCATATTAACCTGCAGAGTAGAAGCAATTGAAGTTTTGAAATACTCTGGTATGACAGACAAAAGCACCAACACCAGTAAAAACTAAAACCCAATGAAGCAGATATCAGGCATTTGTCCGAAGAGCAGAATTAGTGCAAAAAACTCTACCCCTCTCATTTGTTACCACTGATAGCTTAGAAAGGTTAAAAGTACGCCACAGGAGTGAACACTTGCTATAATCGTATTATTGCTTACATCTGCAAATGGAACGGAACGCACAGGTTATAAATGGAGGTCATTCCTGACTAATATAGAAGTTATGCCATTCATACGTCTATTTCTAAGGCAGTCACTCCCTCTGCACATCCCTCCCATCAGAGTAATTTCCATATTAAGGATGCAGAGAATGAATGGGAATGAAAAATCCATTCTCTACCATGTAATAGTGATTGATCAGAGTACCTTCTGTAGGCCTTACATATATTAACTCGAATTATCACATCTCTAAATCTCTAATAGGACCATCTTGTTCTAAATATGCAGGAACACAGGCACAGAGAGCATTAGATTTGCTGACGGTCACACAGCATGTAAGAGGCTGGCTGGAATTCAATGCCAGGTTTGACTCCAACGCCACGTTCTTTCCACCTCTGCTTCTCCTGTCTCACAAAGCAGCCTCTACACTCTTTGAAGTCTCCTACTTCAAAGGGGTCTTGGGTCTTATCCAAGCTGCCCTTGGATAAAAACATTTCTCAAGAGATGTGTATTCCTGGAGTCCTCTGCTGGAACTTGGAAGTATTTTCCAAGAGAAACAATGTTATGTACACAAATTACACAGGCACAGCTCTATCTACCTTCATTCACTAGTAATACTGTCTACTATGAGATACTGATTAATAATTTCCTATGGGAAAGTGGGTTGGAAACTCTCAATCATTAAACTTATTTTAATTTCAATGTAGAGAATCACGGTGAGGTATGATCAGAGGACTTACCAGCCATAACAGCTACACAAGTTACAAGAGAATATACTTATGTGAACACTGTTTAAGGACACTGCTGGGAACTGGCTCAATGGGTAATTATAGACTTTCACTATTCAGTATTTCACTTCCAGCAAACATTCTTCTGTTATCGATCTGTAATTTCAGACCATTCAAAATAGGGTTTGCCTAATATACAATTGGAGGTATTCTTAAATACGACACTTCCAAATGAAGACATAGTAATGAATTACACAATTTACAATGAATTTACTTTGCCTAATAGCATTAAACACTGAAACACACAAGAGTGGGGACTTTTCACTTTTGTTTAAGTTAATTACAGTTACAGCAGATGCTCTACACAGGTTAAATGTCTAACTAAACAGGAGAGAGGAGAAAAGGCCAATGAATCCATCAGATTTCAGCAACACTCCCAAGTCAAGGATAAAAGTAAGATCAATATTGCCATGCAACTTATAGCCCAGTTCAGTCCACACTTCTAAGTACTTACTGCTACTGGATGCTCAGCCAAAGATGTAATGCTGGGAACTGAGGGGACTTCAGGCTCTTGCAGAACAGTTTGCTTTTTTAAAAAATAAATGAGATAGTACAGGTAGAACACACAAATAGGAGATGAGGCAAAGACAGAGTTGTAGGAAAAGCTAAATGTCCTGAAATAACTAATTATTCAAAATGGGTGCATTTACCTTGCCTTCATCGATTACCCTGTTAGGGGAAGAGCCTCTTGAGCTGCTGTTCATCATGGCAGCTGTACCAGATCCTGGATCTGTTAAAGACCAGAGAACTGATTTAGACTTATTCTGACTTGTGTACTCTGTGAGGAGGATTAAAAAAAAAAAAAAAATTCCTCTGCCCACTTCCTGCATGGTTTTAGACTCTTTGAACACTCTTGCTCCCTTACCAGAAGGAGAGGGTTTCCCAGATGCCTCAGCTGACCATCGAGGATGAGGTAGAGGCCCGTCCACTGATCCTTGAGAAAGAAATAACAGAGCCCTTATATGTATTTTTTGGAAGAAATAATCAATTGTGGACAGGTCAGGGTTCAAGTCTATCTGGAAAGCAATATTAAAAATGGGTCTCCCAATCCTTATGAAGGGAAATCACTTACAATTTATGCACGGACTTAAAGAATTAAAATAAAAACTGCCTTGCACTGAAAGAACAATAAATCCTGCACATTAATGGCTCTGGTTCTACACTTCAAGCTACAGACTTCCATGTATTGTATTCTACATGGTGATTTTTGTTCAGTGTATATGTAATCTGACTTCTGTATCTTACCGAGTATTATAGACATATTTAGGATTCAAAATAGACTTAACAGCGTTTCATACTATAGTAATGAGAAGTGGAAACGTATGCCGCATAAACTATAAAGTTATTAAGGCTACTTTATAATACAGTTGACTCTTGAACAATGCAGGGGTTAAGTGTGCTGATCCCCTGCGCAGTCAAAAATCCACGTGTAACTTTTGACTCCCCAAAACCTGCCTACTATTGACCAGAAGCCTTACCAATAACATAAACAGTTAATATATATTCTGTATATATATTGTATACTGTATTCTTACTTTAATAAAGCAAGCTAAAGAAAATGTTATTGAAATCATAAGAGGAAATGTATTTATAGCACTGTATTGTATTTGTACTGTACACGTACATGGTCTGTTTACAAGATGAATCGTCTGACTGAAATGACTGATAACTGCTACTGCACACTCCAATCTATGGTATATATCAAAGCAATTCAACTTTCTCTAGTAGTGTCATGACTCTGCTTCTGGAGAATACTTCCAGCATCACTAGTGGCATTTTATATGGGTCCCATGGTGTTATTCAAGGTTTATGGTATTGCACTAAACGTGAAAAATACACAAGAACCATGAGAGATTATGTTTACTGTGATACACAATTTACTGGAAAGATGAACTGCCCACATGCAGATTAACATCACATGGTGTTTTAAGTGGATACTCACAACACTTGAGCTCACTGTAGTAGCAACAGGAGGTGGTTATGAAATTATTACAGTAGTACAGTATGTACTACAGCTAATCTTACGCATTTATGATTTAAAACTGCATCTTTACATGTGTTTATTTTTTCCCAATTGTGAATGGTATCAGGTACATCTGTGCTTGTGCAAGTTATGATAAATTTTAACTTTTAAAAATAGATCTTTGTATATTTTACAATAGTATATGATAAAATAGACTAGTATTTATATATATTTTATGCATTCACGACATACATAAATTTTTCTTAAATTTTTTAATATTTCTAGGCTATGTGGTTCATCTGCAAGTTCTTTCAAATTATTGCAAAGCTCCAAAAAATTTCCCAAGATATTTTTTGAAAAAAATCTGCATAGAAGTGGACCTGCACAGATCAAACTTGTGTTGTTCAAGTGTCAGCTGTATTTGGGAGAGGAATCCCACAGAACTTTAATTGAAAGATAAAAGCTTATACTTCAGAGTAAAAAACTAAGAAAGAAAACAATAAAGGAAAGTAATAAATGCTTTCTGTTCTAAAGCAAAATCTTTCAGTTGAATACTTGCAGTTGAATCCACCAAGACAAAGTAAGAAATTTTCTTTTCTATACTGGACAGACCCGAATTCTAAAGTGTTTGCATTAGAATTCTCAAATAAAAGGGAAAAAACCACCCAAAAGAGTATTGCAAGGAAACACGTGAATGCTCACCAAATTCACTTCTAGGCATATCTCTCCGACTGAGCGTAGCAGAGAGAGGTCTCACGGGTGGCTCCACTGTCAATGGAGGGGAGCATTCACCACCACTCACAGGGGATGGGCCAAAAGAGCCATTCTGGCTCAGAGGACCTAAAGATAACAGCGTCGTGTTAACATTTTAAGACAGACTTTTTTTCTTTACTCAGTTCTTGGGATTATTCCTAGGGTACCATACCATTACACACAGAAACAAAAAGTCACGTATATATATTTTACATCAAAAAACAGATTGCTGCCCTTTACAAGGTGCTCCCTTACCTCTCCGTGGAGGGTTTTGTGTATTTGGTCTTCCTGGCATTGGTTTTACAATCACAGGTTCTTCTTGCAGCATTGCCATCTTTTGTGTTAATTCTAATAATCTTGAATATAGAGAAAGAATATTTAAGAAAGACTTAAATGTGAAACAGAAACCAATTCCTTAAGACATCACACACTGAAAATACAGGCATCAAAATCACATACTTGTGTCTCAAGTTGGCAGCTTCCCTTTTCTCTTCAGCTATAGCTCTTTCTGCAGCACGAGCTTTGAGCTATTGAAGAAAAATATCCAAATTCAGCTGTGGGAGACTATGCACAAAATAAGGTAAAGAAAAAACAAATCTTACCCAGTTTTCATGAGCTTTCTTCTCATGGGTAGCAATCTGAAAAAGATAATATATCACAAAATATGCTTACAGATTCATTATAATAGCCTGTAGTACTTACCAAAGAATTCCGGGCACTATATAGTAGAGCACTAGAATTATTACCTGGTTTTTAAATGACCGCTCTGTCTTCTGTAATTCATCCTCCATTTCTTCAATTCTCCGCCTAAGAATTACACTTGGTTTTATCATTTAAAGCACAACCAAATAAAAACCCAAACCATCTGACTATGTTAACCTTTACCCTAACAACTGTACCCTAATACAGCTTATCCAGAAATATAAAGCATATTTTACATGGTTGGTTATAACAAAAGTACAATACGATGAAAACTAATGATACATAATTTCCTTTAACAGCTGGAGATTCTGAGTTGATAAATTAAAATTTCTTTAACTGTTCCTAAATATGTTCTCAAATAATCCTATTATTAATATCTTCCACTATAAACCTTTTTTCATCCTTTAATTATATTATAAAAAAATTTCCCAAAGTTAGGACTACTGGGTCTATCAAATGGCAAAATCACTTTAATGGCTTTTGACACATACAACAAACTGCCCCCACGCCCCCCCCGACCCCCAGAACTGTTTGCATGAATCAAGTTCTCTTACAGTTTTGCCAACACTGGCTATTTGTTAATATTTTTCCATTTGTTAACTTAAAATATAGTTTTTCTTTTTTGTGAACTGATGTATTCATGTCCTCTAACCATTTATTTGTGCTTTGGTGCTAATAAAAAAAGCCAACACTAGTTTCATTAGCCACTGATACCCTCTTTAGAAGGTGAACTTACTTGTAAGTTTTTACTTCCTCTGCAGCCGAAACTGCCTTTTCATCTGCAGCTGACAGCCTGTGCTCTCTTTCTTGTCGTTCATACTCTTCTTGACTCAGTTTCCTAAGATAAAACTGGTTGTCAGTGGAAGTGTTTCTCTTTTCCTCCTGGCATTCTGTCTGAATACTCTAATAAAATCTCACTTCCTATCCTATTCTTAAAAATGCATAGATTATACAAAGTCATAGGAAGGAACCCAAACTGTTCTTCAGGATAAAAATCCAACTATGGCTTGTTGATACATCACCTGCATTTTCTAATGTCTCATAATTCTCTCCTCATTAGTAAATAATACAAATGTAAAAAAGCACTATGTGTCCCATGGGAAAGACTGTTGTGTTGAAATGATGAATGTGCACTTTTCTTCAATGTAGAAAGCCAGGACTGATCAACCTAACACAGTTAAGCTTATTAGGATAATGCAGGAGATAATTACTTCTCTTATTTCTAGCCATGGAAAGACCACTAATTAATTTTCTTATGGGCTGTTTCTCAATCCAAGAATGGTACCACGATAAAGACAGCCAATGAAAGAGCTTTTTAGAACATGTCCTTAACTGTACAATTAACCCCAGAACATTTTCACACTACAGACATGGAGCTCTCCTACCTATTTCAATGGAATCATGATTAAGCAGAGAGACAAATCTGAGTATCGGCAATGTCTGTTGAACAGAAAAGGAATCCAAACTGTCCCGTAATCAGGGTGCTACGTACTGGAAACTGGTTTTAACCTGACAACCTTCAAGCTCAAGAGGTCAGCCAACTATAACACAGATTGTAAAGGCAGCAACGTTTAATGGTTTAAAAGTGCTACCTGTAGTTACCCTTATATTTCTTTACTTATAGTTCTGATGCAAAAGGTACCTGAAAATTTTCTATAAATTGGAAACAAAAATAGAGGAGCTATAGTAAAATAGTAAAAAGGGTTATTAACACTAAAGAGAAAGAAGTTTATGTACTCTTTTACAACTGCTCATTCAATACTTCAGCAAATATTTCATGAGTGACTATAATATACTAGTTACCTTGTAAGAGGCTAAGATAAAGGCATGGGTATGGTAAGTACCACCTCTGCACTAAAGGGGCTCACAGCTGAATGTGTAAAAGGTGCATATAAGAACAGAACAATCCCTCTCTGACTCTGGCTTAGGAAGGGGTGTGGAAAAAACAAGTCTTGAAGAAAGATTCAAGAGAATTTTGTTTCCAATAATGGATGAGTTAGTCTGCAAACACTGAAAATAAGAACATATGGACAAAAATATAAAGAATGTGCTCAAAGGCATCAGAAAGCTAATAAGGCAGTGAAGAAAATCCAGTAGGAAAAAACACAGAATTATAAGTAAGCCTGGCATCTTAAGCCATTTTCCCCCAGGTTCATCCGTGCATTGAAGACAATGCAGACATATAAGAAGGTTGAAAAGAACTTTCAACAGATCCCTGGGTTCAGAGAAACAAGAAGTGGAGTTCAGGACTGCCAATGAGAAGGACCCCTAGTAAAAGCCCTAGGCTTTGGGTTGAGACCAGAAAAGAGCTGCACACTTGGAGTACTGAACAGGCAATAAATACAATGTCCTTTAAAGGGATCAGGCCGTTTTTGAATGATTTTAATTGCTAACTGGAATAAAGTAATGACCACCCACTAGAGGTAATCTCATATATTTTCTGTAGGACGCTAACATCATCTTAGACCTCAAATTTCCCTGACAGTTCACCGCTCCATCAAAACCAACCAGGCATTCCACAAGACAAGACAATGTGATCACAATCTAAAAGACCAGAGAAACACACTCATAAGGGATCCACATAATAGGATTACCACATAGATTTTAAAACAATTGTGCCTTACATATTGAAGGAAGTACAAGTCAAGATTACACATTTCAGCAGAGGATTAGAAACTATAAAAGTGAAAAACAGTGAAACCAAAAAGAACTCAATGATTTTAGCAGATTAGACAACTGAGGTGAGATTTTAGCACACTGGAAGATAGGTCAGAAGAAAACAACCAGAATGAAGCAAATTCAGAACGTAGGAGGCACTGGGTGAGGGGTAGGAGTGGGAGATCCTAGTATGTTTAATTGGATTATCAGGACAAGTGAGAATGAGATAGAATTGATATGTGAAAAAAGAGTCCCCAAATTCAAGAGATGTTTATAACCTCAAGCGGTATAAATGCAAAAGAAAAAGCAGGGGCGTAGCGGTGGAGGGGTGATGACAAAATCCTACATGTAGGCACCTCCCAGGAAAACTGCTGAAAAACCAAAAAGAAAAATGACTAAAGGCAGCTAGGGCAGGCATAATCCATTTGAAAAAAGAGAAAATAAGAATGATAATAGATTCCTCAAAGAAATTTTAAAACCAGAAGATAATTGGTTATCTTTAAAGCGCTAAAATTAAACAACTATCAAAATTCCATAACCAGCAGAAAGACCCTTTTAAAACAGAGTCAAAATAAAGACATTTCCACACAAAAGTAAACTCACTGAACCTGCATTAAAGTATATTCTTCAAGTAGAATGAACGTGATCCCAAATGGAAGACTGAAGATGTAGGAAAATGAAGGATGACAGGAACTATAAATAGGTGTGTAAATTGAGTATCAGCAGGTTAGCGCCGTAAAAGACAAACATTTTGTGGAGTTTGAGCTACACAGACCATTAAAATACATGACCACAATAACATCTAAGTCAGGAGGAAGTTAAAGCCCAGAAAGAGGTAACTCCTCTATTAAGAAAGAGGTAACTATACTATGTCAGACTTTTTAAAAGTCCAGGATACATGCTGTGGCCTTTAACAAGAGGACAAGTAGAACAACTTGTAACCACCAAGTTTAAATAGAGAAGACCAGAATCATTTAAAATACTCTAACAATTCAAAAAAATGAAAAAAGGAACATAGAACAGGCCATCAAATAGAGAGCAGATACCAATATGTAGATTTCAACTCAAACATATATTTACAAATTACATTTAAGAAGCAAATGAGTACTCAGTCTCTATGGCTACCTATTTATTTATGCTACAACTCACTCCAAAAAGACTTTTAGGAGCATAAACATTTGAGTAGGTAGGAGACTGCCAGGGAGAAACAATAAAGGACATTTTTACTACAGAGAAAACAACATACATGAAGACAAAGAGGTTTAGAGTGGCATGGAGGAACGGTTCTGAGTCTGCAGTTCAAGAAGCATCAGAAGAAACTACAGGAAATGCACCTGGAGAGGCAGCTCAGGACTAGCTGAGGGGAAAGTGGCCTCTACCTGTTAAGGAGTCTGGAATTCACCCTGAAGGGAATGGAGCATCCTTGACAGATTTTAAGCACATAATGACATGGACAGACTTGTATTTTAAAAAGTTCACTCTAGCAACTATATAGACAATCGGAACTGGGAAGAAGCTGTATAAGAAAGACTGGAGATGGGGGGCCGAGCGCGGTGGCTCACGCCTGTAACCCTAGCACTTTGGGAGGCTAAAGCGGGCAGATCACGAGGTCAGGAGATCAAGATCATCCTGGCTAACATGGGTGAAACCCCATGTCTACTAAAAATACAAAAAAAATTAGCTGGGCGTGGTGACAGGCGCCTGTAGTCCCAGCTACTTGGAAGGCTGAGGCAAGAGAATGGCATGAATCTGGGAGACGGAGCTTGCAGTGAGCCGAGACTGTGCCACTGCATTCCAGCCTGGGTGACAGAGTGAGACTCTGTCAGAAAGAAAACAAGGAAAGGAAAGGACAGGACAGGACAGGACAGGACAGGAAAGGAAAGGAAAGGAAAGGAAAGGAAAGGAAAGGAAAGGAAAGGAAAGGAAAGGAAAGGAAAGACTGGAGATACGTGATTAGCTAGGGACTGGCATAAAAGATGACAAGGGCCTGAACTAACACAGTGACTTTAGTGGTAGACAGCAGAGTACAAACCAGACAAGGAGACTGAATGAATGTCGGGGAAGTTGAGTAAAATACTGCCACATCAATGGGTTAATTGTATAATGAAGAAAAACAGTTGCCATTTAAGTAATTCACATTACTATTGGAGGCAGAGAAGTGTTTGTTTTCAAAAAGTAATGAAACGGGGAATGTCTCTCTGAAGCAGAACAGGCATTTAGAGCTGGCCTGAACAAAACCGGGAAAATCTAAACTGGCTGCTTGGTGAGCAAAGAATTAGAAAAAATATTAATGGCATAGTTTCAATATTTAATGGCATACAGCAGTAGCAGTCTAAGCATTTTAAAAAGTTAAATTTGCTTAGCAAGAGAGGCCTTCTCACACACTGCCATATACACCAAAGAATAAAATATAAGAGCAAACACAAATAGCAACTGCCACAGATAACCTATTTTTAGAGAATTCAGATGTTTTTGTGGAGAAAAAACTTGAACTATAAAAATACAGCTTTCAAAAGGTGCCTCGCTTGAAATTTGAGACATGTATTTCAGAGGATTAATATCTAAATATACACGCCAAATAGTTTTATATTCAAAACTCCTAGTATCTTTGCCACAATTATATTTAGTTTGAATATTTGAATGTGAAGTCCAAAACTAAATGTATCTGCAATAAGTAAATTTTCCTTTTTTGAAGTTTTTATTCTACTAAAACACATGTCATACAAAATCACTCAGACTTTTTAAATTACATAATTGACCACAAAGAAAGGAAAGTGAAACAAGTGGTGGAGCCACAGACAAGGCATGGCTAGATCTTCCAAAGAGAAGCACTCCACAGCAGCACCTGTCGGCACCAGCACACTGCTCCCCCTTCAGGGAGCTACAGGCAACAGTTTCTGACTACTGGTTAGAAAGGAAAGAAAAATGCAGCTTATGAGAAACAAAGCAGAAAGAAAGAAAGACAAATTTATACTAATTACAGATGTAAAAAAGTATAAATAATCCTAAAAAATGATAACAGTATCTATATTAGTTACACATTTATTTAGTCACATGACAATACAGTTCACAGGAAATGATGACAGTCTTACTTTTGCAAAGCCATCTCCTTCTGCTGATAGAGTTCATTCAGAATCTCCACTTTCTGCCTCAGGGTTTTGCATTCATCTTCCAGTCCAGCTTTGGCAGCTTGTAGTGAGTTGCGGTCATCTTCCAATTTCTTTATCTGGTCTGTAAAGGATAAAACATTGGAGTTTATTTATTTATTTATTTATTTATTTTGAGATGGAGTCTTACTCTGTCACCCAGGCTGGAGTGCAGTGGCCGGATCTCAGCTCACTGCAAGCTCCGCCTCCCGGGTTTACGCCATTCTCCTGCCTCAGCCTCCCGAGTAGCTGGGACTACAGGTGCCCGCCACCTCGCCCGGCTAGTTTTTTGTATTTTTTAGTAGAGACGGGGCTTCACCGGGTTAGCCAGGATGGTCTCGATCTCCTGACCTCGTGATCCGCCCGTCTCGGCCTCCCAAAGTGCTGGGATTACAGGCTTGAGCCACCGCGCCCGGCCTAAACATTAGAGTTTTATGTGTGTGCACAAGAACTTGAGAACTTGGTTGGGGGCTGGTGCTGAGAGAAATGAGACGAATGAAAGCAGGAAGCCGCTCTTTATCTTTCTAATGCAATTTTGTATCTTTCCAAGATATAGCAATTTCTTCTCAAGAAGCAACCTACCTTCCAGGTTACATTTAGTGGACACAGAGGCTCTTAGTTTAAGTTGTAAAAGTTTTAGATCCTCTTCAACTACCGATATTGCAGTCTGTGTCTAAAAATTGCAGAAGAGAGAAGTATTCATAAAAGTGAGACATAGTAAAAGTATTCACAGGTAATCATGGGACTCTAAAAAGGATTATACCCGAGAGACATCCATCATCTGCTTAATCTGATTTTTCATCTTCTCATTCTGGTCACCTAAAAAACAAAAGGATTTCTTTCATTGCTTTTTCTTCCTTTGCTTTTTAAATCCATATTTTCTTGATTTACCCAAAACCAAACAATTGTCATGTTCAAACATTTAAAGAACAAACAAAAACAGAACAGGGTTAGACTGACTTTTAAGAGAACTGCAAACTTAAGACTGAAAGAGTGAATTCCCATTTGTACATAAACATGTTATACATGCCATTCTTGAGCAAGAAGAAACATGTGAGATAAAGCTCTTTCTTCTCTCTCATATCTACCTCCATCTGGGCTTAGTGTCTTATTCAGAAACATTCCCTCCTATTCTCCTCCAGAATCTGCTACCAGGTGTGGTTTAAACACCCACTACATAAGCAATATCCAACTTGAGAGAGGGCATCTAGAAACACTGTCCTCATCAGTAAACACTGCTACCCTATAGCCTCCACTCTCATGGCCTTAGTTTATGGATCCAACCACCTCGGCACTCTCAAAACCAGTTGTGGTTTTCTTTCATGGCCTTAGTCAGTTTATGCCTCCAACCACCTCAGTACTCTTAAAAACAGTTGTGGGCCTTAAAACCACACAGCTACTGAGATGACAAGTTTTAACATGTTATCTTCATGAAACTGAGAAACAAGTTTCTACTACTGTATGTGTTCAATACTTAGAGGTGTAAGACATGACCAGTGCAGCTCCCATGCACCCTTCTAGTCTCAATGTAAAAACAAAGTCAGTGTTCACTGCATGTTTATTGCTACACCACACCCTAGCAATCCACCTCTGCGCAATGCAAGCAGACATACATTCAAATCCAATATGTGTTTACAACTCGAAAGCTTAAGAGGAAATTCAGCCAGGTGAAAAGTAGCACTGGTGCACTTAAAGACAGGAAGGCAAAACGGGTCCATCCTCCTTGGGACTGATCTTACCTCCCACTTCTCCATTTGCTAATTCATCTGAATCATTTCCACCTTTATTTTGACCCTCAGATTCAGATTCACACTCTAACCGATTCAACTGTGTAATGCAATTAGTCAAAGCCTAGAAAAGAAGTAAAAGGGCATTAAGAGTCTTTCCATTTAATTCTACAGATTTCATGATAATTCACAAGAATTAAGCTTGTATTCATGAGAACGTACTTACATTAATATTATCATCCTTGTGAGTAAGAGCTACTTCCAAATCTTTCTGAGACTTCTCAAATGATTTGATTTGCTCACTGAGCTCAGCATGTAATTTACTCCAGTCTTCGATTTCCTGCTGCAACTGAAAAGTTAAAACACAAGATTCCCACAGGTTAGGGCTTTTGTACTGGAGACATTAGGACCAAGTGAATGAGACAGGGAAATAAGGAGCCATGCCTCTCCTTGGCCTATCACTATGTGCTAAGACCTTAGTTAAGCGGGAGGAGAGAGTGGTCCCAACCCTCAGAGCTACAGTGAGAACATCAGAGCTGTCAAGGAAGTTGGATCTCGTTTATTGCATCCTTCAGAAAATGGTAGCCAATTCAAATAATTCACTTCCAGAAGGAACAGAAGGGTTCATCCTGCTATCTCCCAAGTCCAGACTCCTGCTCATGTAACATTCCCTTGGCTAGTGAAGCAGTAACTACTCAAAGGAGGGTTATAAAATATCTAACTCTTAGGTCTAAAAAGCCAATCTATTACCCACTGGAGGCTACTCAAGTTAAACAGCAATTGGTGTTTGACAAAACAAGACTACACACTCTGATAGCCAAAATAAATTGTACAGAACAGAAAATCCAGAACAGATAGAGAATGTATACCTACACTCAATTTTGGAAGCATACTTTAAACTTTGCATATCTAAGAACAGAATCCTGCACATATATTACCTTAAAAATAGATCTGAGAAAAGGCATTCATGAGGTATGATACTGGGTTCTCTATTTTACACGACCTAGGACACGCACTTTCCTTTACCTGCTCTTTTTTCTTCTTAAGCCTAGCATTTTCTTCTTGAACCCGATGGCATTCAGACTTCACCTTCTCTTCACTAAGCTTAGCTTCATTAAGCGCAATCTGAACCTAACGCAAAACACTCCTATTAGTGAATTAATTCCAAAGAAAATCAAAAAAAGTTACTTTCCCAGCCCAACATCATGTAGTTTTCATTTTTTGCACATTTTAGCACACATCAAACTTTTGCTCTGCAATCAAACTATAATATAGTATTAATGTCCTGCAGGAATTACAGTCAGCTTTACCTCTGAAAATTCTGAGGCATTCATTGAAATAGCATCCTTTAACTTCTCTATAGATTTCTTGTTTTCTGATATCTGCCATGTAAAAACAGAACACAAAATGTATATTAGGATTTCAGTAGAAACACTGGGATATGTACTGAAAAGAAGAAACATCAACAAAGTATGTCCCAGAGCCATCCCCTATGTTTCAGGTAAAAGCAGGTGTTTCAGTTTTGCCCTAGGGAAAAATCAAGAACTTAAAGAGGTAAGGGAAAATAATCGAAGGCATAAATATTTCATGGCATACACAGCCTTCCTGGTTAGAATAAAATGTGGTAGATGACCAGACTAAAAGGTGAAAGAAGAGAAACTGAAAAAACTTTTAAGTAAACCAGTTCAAATCAATGTGACTTTTTTTTTCTTGTAGCAAGAGAAAAAAAATCCCCAAGGTACTTTAAAAATGCTCTTGCCTAAATTAAAAATGGTAGGACTGGAGTGAAAATAGACAGATCACCCATACAGAAGAATTCTAGATAATTTATGAAGATTCTGGCTCCTCAAGGGGACAGAGCATAACCCTTTTTCACTGTGGGCTGTGTTAGTAACTTCCTTCCAAAGGGTACAATAATGCAAAAAGTTTAAAAAAAAAAAAAAAAAGGTAATTTTACAGTGAAGAAATGTGGCAATACTACCTCAGTGAGGTCATCAAGATTAATAGGGTGTGGGATTTATGGGTATGCTCTCTACTATCTTTGCAACTTTTAGGTCATTCTAAAAGTATTCTATTAATAAAGTAAAATGTTTACAGCAAAAAAAAAAAAAAAAAAAAAAACTTTGCAAAACAAAACAAAACAAAACACCCAGGACTGTTCAACTGGGTTGTGGTTTCCTAGTTGTTCCACATGTTTCAGAGGGCAGAGCCAAGCAATATGACAATTACCTAGAGTTGAAAACCAAAATACTTCCTAGGCCCATAAGAATAACTTCTTGTGTAAGTACTTAAAATTCCACAAAAATGCACAGAAGTAGGTTCAACTTCCCTGACTCGCACTCTTACTTCACGTAACAGCAAGGAAAATAAAGGGTTCAACTCAATCTACAAAAGAGTTCAAAACCCAAATTGTTAGTAACACTTAGCAGCAAAACTCTTACCAAGTCCTGATTCTTGACATTCTGTTCTCTCTCTGACTCTAACATAACACGAAGATTTTTAGCTGCGTCACCCAGAATTTCATTATTTTTTTCAAGTGTCTTGATTTTATCCTACAAAAAAGATATTAAGGTTAGTTATAGTCATTACTTATACTTTTAAAATGTAATCCCCAAAATAAGTTTTTACCTTAAATTTAATTGCTTCATCAGAGAGAATCATATTTTGTTTCCTGGTTTCCTGAACATGTTTCTTTGATTCCTTGATCTACATAAAATAAAGCATTCAGAATCCAGAAATACAAAGTATAGTGCTACCAGAACTCAATTTCAAGTGACTGACCTCTTACAGAGGAAAACAGTACTTTACACATATGACTGCTTAAGATCTGGATGGTTTATAGGAATTAATGGAATAATAAATATTACTTAAAAATACCATAGTAACTGAACTATAAGATAGGTGAAAATAATTCAAGCTGGGACCATGGGAAAAAAAAACAAAAGAATAACTATACCTTCTGTTCATAATTTGACAATTTTTGTACAAGTTCTGTATTTTCTTTCATGATAATCTTCAACTTCTCAGAAATTTGCTGTTCCGTGACTGAAAAAAGAAAAAATAATGAGGTTATTATGATCACTAAATGAAACTGAATTACCCAATGGATCAGCAGCAAAGACATGTTATCTGGCACTATCAGGAAAAAGAACTTCTTAGCATAACTATTATGGTTTTAAAAAGTGATATGGTTTGGGTCTGTGTCTCCACCAAATCTCCTGTCAAATTATAGCCCCCAGTGTCCCCAGCGTTCAGGTGGGGCCTGGTGGAAGGTGACTGGATCACCGGGGTAGATTTCTCACAAGTGGTTTATCACCATCCCTGTGGTGCTGTTCTATGATGGTGACCGAGTTCTTGTGGAATCTGGTTGTTTAAAAGTATGCAGCAACTCCCCGCTAACTCTCTCTCGCTCCTGCTCCCACCATGTAAGAAGGCCTGCTCTCGCTTTGCCTTCTGCTATGAGTAAAAGCTCCCTGAGGCCTCCTCAGAAGCAGATGCCGCTATACTTCCTATAGCCTGCAGAAACATGAGCTAATTAAACTTCTTACAAACTACCCAGTTTCAGGTATTTCTTTTTTTGAGACAGGGTCTTGCTCTGTTGCCCAGGCTGGAGTTCAGTGGTACAATCTTAGCTCACTGCAAACTCCACCTCCCAAGCTCAAGCAATCCTCCTGCCTCAGCCTCCTGAGTAGCTGGGACTACAGGTGTGTGTCACCACACCCAGCTAACTTTTGTATTTTTTTTTAATAGAGACGGGGTTTCTCCATGTTGCCCAGGCTGGTCTCGAACTCCTGAGCTCAAGCAATCCTCCTGCTTTGGCCTCCCAAAGTGTTGGGATTACAGGCGTGAACCACCACACCTGGCCTTGGGTATTTCTTTATAGCAGTGTGAAAACAGATTAATACAAAAACCAATCTGCTAACAAGAATAAGGATGTAAAAATACTGTTACAATTTAAGAAAAATATAGTAAGAACCTTTATTTCAATGAGAGTCTAATTTATTTCCAAGATAGGAAATACAGTAAAATGTTATAGCTCAGTATTCTTCCCTGCATGAAGCATCTTTCTTCTCAGAAAATGGCATCACTTCAAATATGTCATTTGCAAAGAGAAATAAAAAACGCAGTCATGCTGATTTACATTTCTAGTCCTCAAATTATCTACTTAAATAAATATTTAATGTACTGACTAAATCATTAGCAAAGGAACACTGGTCACAAGGAATAAATTGGTACTACGTCAACATTTAAGGTCAATCTGCCTCAAATTAATTATCTTCTCCCTACTCCTGCAATTTGTTCCTCTTCATCTCCTATCTCAGTTGGTAGCATCACTATTTCCTCTATCATCCAACCTGGCAACCTAGGAATAGTAAAGTTTTCAGAAGCTATAAGTCAGTCAGATATCAGAAGTCACTAAAACTACTTATATATAAAATCCATATCAAACAACAATACAGAGGGAATAGTACAAAATAAGCCAAAAGATTTACCTTGATATACTCTACTCTTCACCTAGAAAAGAAAAATAAAATTAAATTTGATGTCAAACATTTTATTAACAGATGTACATAGTTTCTAATACAACTGGCAGAATTGTAACCAAATGAGAATTTAATAATAGTTTGGTTTAGCATGAATCCACAAGATGAAAAAAATTTAAAAAGGTTAAAAAGCATTTCAAACGTAACCAGTAGTGATATGCTGTAGTCTGACAGATACAGCGCTAAGGTAAATATCTTACTCTGCGGCTAAAGAGATGTTTATATATCTAAATGAGCACCAGTTTTATGAAATAAGCACTTAGCTTGAATAACAGAAATGGCTAATATTTTTGTAATAAATATATCAACATCTTATTTATTCATTTTATTTATTTGACAACTCCAAATAGCCAGAATGAAATCTAAAAACAATGACTACTCAAAAAGACTCTGAGGAAACAAAATTAAAGGTATGATCTTCGTACTAAGACACACACCTCTTTTGCTCACCAGAAAACATCTCAGAAATCCTATTCAAAATTGACTACTGGCTGAATTTAAAAATAATTCTATTAATACTAAACTAGATCATTTGATTTTCCTAGACCACTAAAAACAGTGCTCACAAACCTGACAGGGAAGGGAAGACTGCTAGAGGAAAATGCATAAGCAACAAGAGAAATGACAACTATCATCTTCCTGAAAGGGCAAAACCCAAATCATCCCCTAAAGACAGCACTAAATTATAGGACAAAAAAATCTAAGCAGTAACTAATTTTTTAAAAAGAATCTTACTAAATTTCTTTGCAACCCAGAACATATTTTCCCTTTCAAATATTATGTTGATGAGATGCTAACACCAGTCCACAAATCATCCATAATCCCAGCAAATATACTGTTTACATAATATACTATATTACTGTATACAGTAATTAATATACTGCATACCTAATAATTACAGTATTTAAATCTCACTTATAATACCGTTGTTATAGGAATATGCATTCAGAAAATTCCAACATGGAAAGAAATTACTATCTCTCTAATGTCACGGCCTTGCTAATGAGAGTTAACTTCCTCTGCTCCATTTCACCCAAACTAACAGGCAAGTAGAGACCAAGGTTCCAAAAGTCAAGTGCTGAGGAACGACAGTTAGGACACAGAGCCTATACAACTTTCTAAAAAATGAAAATGGCGTCAGAATATTTTTTATTAACAAATAGGAGAAACGAGAGGGAAATGTAAAATGTTTTCACCTTTTCCCCTTCCATTTACCCTTTGATTCTCCCTTTTTATCTGAGAAAAAGCACCACGAGGTTAGAGAAGGCCTCACAGGAGAAAAGACCCTTCTTTTTAAGTAATTTTACAATCAATTGTGAAAGCAGAGAAAATTTATTAATGATGATATATGTGATATAATTATGAAATCAGAAAAACAGTACTCAGTTTTAGAAAGATTGGCACACAATAATTTTGGCCATTTTAACTGTGAAGTTTCAATAGGAAGCTATTCATCTGCAAAGTTCATTTACACAAAATAATCTTCTCCCAATTATGTTAAATAACTATGAAGCCGAATGCTACATAGTATAATCATAAGTATGTACAAGTATGAGTATACACACTTATACATACATATGTTTAAGTCTGAAAGACAAATTCTGCACAGAAGATAAAAAAATTAATGGTGTGTCTTTACACAGGATATAATTTGTATTTCCAAATAAAAAGGTATTTTCTGACTAAAACAGTACATGATCAAATCAGAAAATCTGGGAAATACACATTTTTTAAAAACTGAAAACGTACCTCATCTCCTAGATATAAGAATTTTTATCATTTTGTTGTATTTTCTTGCAGCATTTATTTTCTGTGTGTATGCTGATGTAATATACAGTTTATACCTTAAAGTCTTGGTTTCTACTTTTCTTCTACTTCATGTTAAATTGTGAGTATTTGTTGTGCCCCTATGTCTTTGAATTATATCAAGCAGCCTAATATCCCATTATATGAACATACAATAATTTAACAACTTTCCCACTGTGAATCACAGTAGGTTGTGTTAAAGTTTTCACTCTAATAAATACTGTTCTGCTGAATGCTCTTATGTAGATATTTAAAACTTTTTTTTTGAGACAGAGTCTCATTTTGCCGCCTAGGCTAGAGTGCAGTGGCATGATCTGCCTCCCCGTTTCAAGCGATTCTCCTGCCTCAGCCTCCCGAGTAGCTGGGATTACAGGCTCTCGCCATCACCCCCGGCTAATTTTTGTATTTTTAGTAGAGAAGGGGTTTCGTCTTGTTGGCCAGGCTGGTCTCGAACTCCTGGCCTTATGTGATCCACCCGCCTCTGCCTCCCAAAGTGCTGGTATTACAGGTGTGAGCCACCACACCTGGCCATGTAAGATATTTAACGCATGATCGGTTATTTCTTTCTTTCTTCCTTTTTTTTGGTTTTTTTTGAGATGGAGGAGTCTCACTCTGTCACCCAGGCTGGAGTGCAGTGATGCATTTCGGCTCACTGCAGCCTCCGCCTCCCAGGTTCAAGCGATTCTCTGCCTCAGCATCCCGAGTAGCTGGGATTACAGGCATGTGCCACAACACCCCACTAATTTTTGTATTTTTAGTAGAGATGGGGTTTTGTTATGTTGGCTTGGCTGTTCTCAAACTCCTGGCCTCAAGTGATCCGCCTGCCTCAAACTCCCAAAGTGCTGAGATTACAGGCGTTGAGCCACTGTGTCTGGCCAACTGGTTATTTCTTTAGGATTGATTACTAGACATGATATTAATACAATATAAAAGGATATAACCATTTTTAAGGCTTATGATACACATCATGAAACTATTTTTCAGGATGGCTCTAAGAATTCCTAGTTCTACTAACAGTGTACATATGTCCTACCTAATTCTTTCTTTTTTTTCTTTGTGAGTTGAAATAAAGACCCACCTAATTCTTAATATTTAGATTTTGATATAAGGGACATATAAACTGAAGTTTTCCCATTGAGATTATACATGTTGTCTTATCCACTTAAGAACGTACCAACACAAAAATTATACTAAACTATTGTACAAGGTTAGCTTGAATTAAAAGCATTAATATCTGTTCACATTAGAAACTGAAAAAGAAACAAAAGGGCTGTGATTATAAAACCATACTTGAATTTATGAGTTAAAGTACGCATTAATTTACTCACAACAAGGACAGTTCTCCAGAAGAAAACGGCAAACGAAACAATTCCCAAGAAGGCAGTGATAAGCACAGGTTTCCACGGCAATCCATAAAAATCAGGCCCAGGCTGAACATCATCAGGCAATGTAGCAACTAGCTGAAATGGGCATGTTAGAAATAATGAGAAACCTTAAAGAAGCTTACCATAAAGCAGTCACAAAGACTCATTCATAGAAATTCTAAACCAACTCTATCAGATACCTATCCCCTCAAAAATCTTCAGTAGCTCTCACTGCTTCAAGAAAAATAGGATACTGGGAGTCTCACACTTATTGTTTGGCTTGTTGTGTTCTGAAGTACTATGAGTCTGAATGTCTTTAGGTTGGGCATATATTTCTAGTTTACAATAGGCCCTGATACAATATGTTATCTAAAACATGGCTGGAATTTCTCTTGAATAGGTTGTTTTTTATTGCTGAAAAAACCACATAAGATATAAAACCTTATATATATAAGTAACCAACTTTTTATGGCTGCAAATAAAACCAATATGATGATAATGAATACCACAAATAATGTGTTATTCCTCTAAGATTTAAAATCTTAAATCGACTCTTACATAAACAAAGAACAAATGCTAAGTTTGGATAGCTCCTGATAACTGATCTAGATAAACCGCTTTGAATTTAGTGCCTTAATTCTAAATGTTTCCTTGAAAACAGTGCATTAAACACCTGTCTGATCTATGCCGTTTTCACAGCCCTCTACAAGTACACTATCATACTGGTCCCATCCCCCAACAGAGCCGGGGGTTATGCGGAAAAGACCTGTAAGCCCTCTGTGTTTTGATCGTGACTTCACACCATAACATAAAGTGCTGTAACTTCGTAAGTACGCAAAAAAAAAAAAAAAAAAAAAAAAAGGGACGAAATCTCAAACACACTCCCATCTGCCTCCCTAAACAGCATAGAAAACGTCTTGCTTTCCTCGGATCTGACACACTCCATTTCTCCTTTGCACAATCAATGCACCCACTCTGCTCAGAACTCTTCCACCCGCCTGTGACAGCTTGAGTCCCTCCCTGGGAATGGGGACTGTCACCTCCAGCAGCTTGGCTATGAAGGCTGCGTAGAGCACCGACAGGGGTCCCAGAAGTTCCGGGTCCCCCGGGGTAGCGGTGATAGAAGGCACAGTGGCAGGTACTGAGTCCATTGTGTAGAACAGCTGAATGCAAGCGACAATTCCCAGGGGAATGGCACTGGGTCCCCTGTCTTTCAGAGCTTCCTCCTGCGGAAAGGCCCCAGTTCAGGGGGCGGACTCTGGGATTGAACTTCGCCTTCCACCGCTGCCGGCACTTTCGCTTTATGCCGCCTATAAAGCACGTCATCAGCCACGGCCCCTGGCGCATGTCAAGGCACCAAAAGAGTTGGCCCGCGAGGGCGGGACCAGAGCAGACGGAACCAACTGTCGAGGGGGCGGGGGAGAAGAGCGAATGGGGAGCGGAAGACTTCAAGTAAAGGGAGGCGGAAGTGACTGGCGCTTCCGCTAGGAACCTGCGACTTACAGAGCCCCGGAGTAAGGAGGCAGGGATCTACGTAGAGGAGGATTGTGGGCAGCAGCTGGGGAAAAGGAGAAAGGCAGGCCTCTCGTGCCGGCCCGGAGCTGACCCTTCCTGTCACAGCGTGGAAGGATCACCGCTCAGAGGGGGCGCCGCTGCCGTGCGCGGCCTTTCTTCCCTGCCTACTCAGTCCTCTGCTTAGCGTTCCGCCTGCTGACCTCCATTGCACTCGCTGTCTCACATTCTTGCCGACACTCTTATTAAAAAGCCTTACCCAGGAGTCATGTCATCGTGTCACCCCCATGCACAGGGGTTCAGTTATGGGTCCCACTTTTTTTTTTTAGATGGTGGCTGCGGGAAAGGGGAGGGAGTCTCCCTATGTTGCCCAGGCTGGACTCAAACTCCGGGCTCAAGCCATCTGAGAAGCTGGGACTACAAGTGGCCGGCCACATCTTAAGGTTGGGGTTACATGACTTGTGGAAAAGGACAAGGATAATGAATAGTATGGAAATCATGTTCCAAAAGTTGAAGAAACCGGGGACATTTAATCTGTGGGGGAAAAAATGGTATCTGTAGATAAAAATACCATTTTTAGACCTTTAAAGGTTTATCTTCGAGTTGAATATAAAGTCAACTCAGAGGAACAATCAAGCAAGAACAAGCAGGAAAACCCTAAGAAAGAAGACATATGAAGGGTGTGGTACAAGAGGAGGGCAGGATCTGTAATAACAGTATGGTACTGGCCCAAGAATGCAGACCCACCACGGGGCAGAATAAAAAATCCAGAAATAGACCCCACTGCACTGGAAATTTGGGATACAGCAAGTCCGCTGGTTAACAGACTTTTTAATAAGTGGTATTACATATCTAGATAACAATATGGAAAATAAAACTGGATCTTTTTCTCTCATTGTTCATAAATTCCAAGTTAATAGAAACCTGAATGTAAAACATGAAAACAAATGGTTGAAAAAATTGAGTGACTGTCTCTGTGTATTATGTGAGTGGGCAAGACCTTCCTAATTATGTATCAAAATCCGAAAGCAACAAAGAAAATGATTTGTAAATTTGATTACTGAAAAACAAAAACAAAAAAACGCGCAACCCCATCCACAAAAATTGCAAAATAATCCAAGTTTGGCAATGGTAACCTAAGAAAAAATATTTGTAACATATTATGAAGGATTAATATTCCTAAAATATAAAGTGCTTTACAAATAAGAAGATAGCCACCAGCAAACCTATAGGAAAATGGGCTGAGGTAATGAACAGATCCCAGGAAAAGAAATGCAAATAATTTAAAAACATATGGAAACATGCTCTGCCTCACTCATAATACAAGAAATACAAATTGAACCTACAATGAAATACGATTTCTCACTTATCTTGGCAAGATCCAAACATTTGACAGCACACTCTATAGGTGAGAGAATGTGGAGGAAGCAGGCACTCTCATTCTATGCTGATCTCTATATAAAATCATACAACCCCTATGATTTGGCATCATCTCCAGAAATAACTTGTATATTTATCTACTGACTCAACAATCCCACTTCTAAAGATCTATCTCAAAGATACTGGGGATATAACAACAAATGCTGAAAAAATATATGCACTAAACTGTATTATTCCAGCATTACTTAAAACAAAAGACTAGAAACGACCAAAATGGCCATGAATGAAAGACATATTGAATACAACAGAGTATACTGTAAAGCTATAAAAGAAAGTAATTTTATATACTGCTAGGGCATGCTGTCAGAATACATTTTTTTAAAGGTAGAGAAAAGTAGACTACTACTTTTATCTAAGAAAGTCAGGATTTTTTTCTTTATAGCTTTGAGGGAAATACGACATTCAATACGTTATATGTTTTTAAAGTACACAGTTTGATCAGTTTTGCATATGAATATGCCTGTGAAACCATCATCACAACCAACATAGTGAACCTCCCAAAGTCTCCTTATTCCCTTGGTAATCTCCTGCCCCCTTTCACCCCTCCCTGCCCCTGAAACAATTTCTGTCATAATAGATTAGTTTGCATTTCCTAAAGTTTTATATGTATGTAATAATGCACGGTTATATTTTCTCTGACTTTTCTCAGCATAATATGAAATTCACCCACATTGCTGCACATATCCATAATGGTTCATTTGTTTTTATTGCTGAGTAGCATTTCATTGTATGGGTGTGCCATAATCTGTTTATCTGTCATCTATGGATGGATATTTGACTTTTTCCAGTTTTAGGCTTTTATAAATAAAACTTCCAAGACTATCATGGAGATGAATCTGCCACAGCTAGAAATGCTCAAGAACCAGCTGGACCAGGAAGTGGAGTTCTTGTCCACGTCCTTTGCCCAGCTCAAAGTGGTACAGACCAAGTATGCAGAAGCCAAGGACTGTCTGAACATGCTTAGTAAGAGCAACAAGGGAAGAGAATTACTCATCCCACTGATGAGTTCGATGTATGTCCCTGAGTAGCTGCATGATGTGGAACATGTGCTCATCGATGTAGGAACTGGGTACTATGTAGAAAAGATAGCTGAGGATGCCAAGGACTTCTTCAAGAGGAAGACAGACTTCCTAACCAAGCAGATGGAGAAAATCCACCAGCTCTCCAGGAGCACGCCATGAAACCGGCTGTCATAGAAATGATGAGCCAGACGATTCAGCAGCCCAGAGCCCTGGGGGCACCTCAGGCTACTGCTAAGACCTGAGAATTTGTTGCAGAAATGGGGCAGAGGGATACCCCTTGGGCGTGGCTTCCTGGTGCCAGGGAGGGGAAAGGTCTTATGTTTAATGCCAATAAATGTGCCAGCTGGGCAGAAAAAATAAACTGTCAAAAACATTGATCCACAAGTCTTTCTATGCATGTATAATTTATTTTCACTTGGGTAAATGTGTCTCAGGTAAATGTTTAGGAGAAGAATGGCTGGATCATATGCCCAGTGTAGGTGTATACCTTCTTAAGAAACTGACAAGCTGTTTTCCAAGATAGCTGTACCACTTCACATCCCCACCACCAGTGTATGATACTTCCATTTCCTCCACATCTTCTCCAACACATGGTATAATCAGTTTTTTAAATTTTAGCCAATGTAATAAGTGTGTAGTGGTAACTCATTCTGCTTTAAATTGGCATTTCCCTGATAATTATGCTGAACATTTTTTAATGTGCTTACTTGCAATTGGTGTATCTTCCTTGGTAAAGTGTAATTTTACTGCATTACATTTTTTTAGATGAATGTTGAAGTTCTTTATGTATTCTGAATACAAATATTTTATCAGATAGATGCTTTGCAGTGACTCTTTCCCAGTCTGTAGTTTGTATAACAGTGTTTTTTAAAGAGATGTTTTTATTTTGATTAAATCCAAATTATCAAATTTCTCCTTTATGAATCATACTTTTGATGTCAACTGTAAGAAATCTTTGCCTAATCCAAGTTCAACAAAATTTTTCTCTTAATTTTTCCTAGAAGTTTTATAGTTTTAGGGTTTACATTTAAGTCTATGATCCACTTTGAGTTAATTTATGTACATGATGTGAGGTATGGATCAATTTTTTGTATATAAATATCTAATAGTTTGGGTACCATT